AATGGCGACTGCTGGTGCCATCGGGAGTCTCCTTTCTCCGCTGGAATCTTCTTCGCAGTCCTGGAAGGGTTCTGGGTTCTCCGGCCTTCCTGGACTCCTCCGATCGTCGCCTGGATGTTTCCCTGCGATCCTGGGCCTTCCTGGGGCTTCCACCCCCTTTGGAATGATCGGGCGGCCCCGCAGGACTCTGCGCGCCCGCGCTGGCAAGCCGAGGCTTGAATAAGCGGCGCGGAGCACAGCAGAAGGCAGGTGAGGTGAATTTAAATCGAAATCCTTGCTGAAGCTTTGCTGAAAGTAAGAAACTCCTGAATTTCGGATAGAAGGGAGAGAGGAAAAAAACACTCCGTTCAGGCCGAGATTGAGGTTAATCTGGGTGGCCACAGGATCAGCAGGAGGTGTGGCTTCCAAAGATTTCCTCAATCTCCAATAGGCAAGCAGATTTGGTTAATACCCATGGTTACTCCTCCCACACCTTCTCTTCGGAAACTAGCTTTATTTGGCCAAGTGTGATTAGACACACAAGAAATTTGACTCTGGTACAGAAGCTTTCAGTGTACATGCAAATCAATAGAATCATCATCATCCCAATAAGAATAGTAGTAAAGAAGATGATAAGATAGTAATAATATTATATGGATAAATATAAATACTTATTAGACAGTACGGGGAGGATGAGATGTTGAGCAGTGTGTTGGCAGGAGGGGAAAATCTCTCCTTCTGTCTACTTGTTTTGGCATGCAATGCCCCCACAGTGGCTTCCCGAGGAGAGGAGTTGAAACAGTTCATGTCCAGGATGTGAGATATTGAGGCAAATTGATCATTAATAGCATCTCCAACAATATATTTACCCAGTTGTCTGGAAAATATTTATCTACTATTTCTCTCATCTTGGCTTGTTGGGTGTGAAGGATGGAGGGGTCGAAGTAAAGAGTCACGTACAACATAGCTGCCTGCGTCGCCAGAGCTGTGCTGCGATGTTCCGGCAATGGATATGCAGAAACCTGAGAAGGGAACAGAGGGAAAGGGCCCTTTATGAGCCCGCTGGCCATTTCCCTACTTCTCCCCCACCCCTGGGCCTTGTCCAGCCAGAACCTACCTGGTTGTAGATATCATCTGACCTCAAGCGGCCAATCACCATGCTGATAAATATTTTGTTGATGGGCACCCTGCTGAAGTAACTCTCGGGATAGTTTGCGGGCCTTTTAGCTCCGGGTTGACTTGAATACCCCGTGCTCCGAAGCAGCTTACATATATCATCCATATTGGAGTCAGCAGAGCGAGCAGCACTGGATGGGGCATGATAAGCACACGTCACCAACAGAGGATCTTATCGAAGTACAAGTAGTCCTTCACTTACGACCAGTCATTTAGCGACTGTTCAAAATTATGATCGATCCTGAAAAAGCTACTTATGACCTGGATTTAGAGTTCTGACATCCACTCCCACCTTGCAGTTTTATATGACTGCATTTTAGGTGCTTGGCAAACATCTTACATTTACAACCATTTGCTGTGCCCACAATTTAAAATATTTTTGAAACAAACTAGCGTTTACTTCATTTCCAGAAAAAATTGCCCCGTGTTGAACAATTGTTCATTAATGACTACGGTATTTGGTTAATGACTATCACAAAAAAGATAATAAAGATCAGATTCAGTCACATAGGGACCCACTTTCTGACCGTCACAACTTAAGACTTAAAAAATTGTGGGCTCTGTTACAATTGTAAGTTGAGGATTACCAGTACAGTAAAAGGATAAACTTGCAATTCGCTTGATTTGATATGAAAATCGTTTTTCTCCCTCGTTCCAGGATATATTTTTTTTCAAATTCTCAATTTGACTTTGAGCCCTGGTCTTTCATGGAAGCATTAGCCAGACCAGACTTTACTTATCTTCCAAGGCCAGAAAGATTGGCCTTGATGTTGCAAAGTAGGTTGGCATCAATGAGAAAGTGTTTCTCCACCTTGGGAACTTTTAAAATGAATGAACTTCAACTCCAGAATTCCCCTGCCAGCCATGCTAGCTGGGGAATTCTGGGAGATGAAGTTCACACATTTTAAATCTTTGACAGTTGAGAAGCACCGGAGAAAGACTTTCCTTTAAAGGCATTGCAAATGATTCTTAAAACAAGTATATTGATGCAATCAATATAGTAGTTGAGTTTGCAAAGAAATAATCAACCACAAAATAGCCAATTGATCATATACCCTGAATCAGAGATGTTATACCTGTATCGATAATAGGAAACAAGCATTCTCTCTCGGACTTCCCCTTCAATTTTCTGATCAATGACAAGGAGCATGACACCATACAAATAAAGGGCTTCACACTGCAGCAAACAAGACAGACAGACAGAGAAATTCATAGTTAAAACTGCAAGGATATTAAGCAAAGTGTGTGATTTCCTGTTACATCAAACTCATTACAGTGTTCTCTGTTATAGAAATTTTGTGATGTGTTTAATTACAATTTTCTAATTCTTCGGTGAAAGCAGTTTGGTGTAGTACTGAAGGAATCAGGTTAGAAACCAGAAGGTGAAATGATTAAAATATCTAAAAAACAAACTACAGTAAATAAATATTGCTGCATGGTTAGAGTAAGCTTACCAATAGCTGTTTTCCATCCTCATTCAGCAGCACTGTTTCCAGAGTTTGCTGAATGTAAATCCCTTCATTGAGATCATCCAGATATCTAGAAACAATAAGAATGAAATAAAAATTAATCTTCTGCAGAGGTGAATGTTAGCAAAACCTCATGTTTATATACAGATTTATTCCCTTCTTTAATTGGGCTTCCAAACCCTTTGACATCAATTCTTTCCAAAGTTCCTTTGCATCCAAAAGAATAAAAAGCTGATGCAGTCGAAGAGAAGAACAGGTAGCTGTAAAACTCATTATCAGGATGTCAGTTACGGCTTTATATCCAAAGGATCTCATTGAATTTTATTTAGTTGTGTGGCATGTTAAGAATTGTTGATCACTATCAAGCTAACTTGGAGGTGTGTCTCTCAGACACCCCCAAAAGCTACTTATGACCCAATTCTGGAGTTGCGCACATCCTCATGGTCACATAACTGCATTTTGGGTGCTTGGCAACCAATTCATCTTTATGACTGATTGCAGTGTTGCACAGTAGCATAACAACTTATGTTTTTTTTCTGACCTTTTTGACTTCTAGCAAAAAAATATCCATTGGAACATATTGATTTGTTTCCAGGACTGTGGTGTTTGATTAATGACTGCCCTAAAAAAAAGTCGTAAAATCAAGTCCGGTCACGTGGGTACCTCAACTTTCGACCATCATAACTTACAACAGAAATTCCAGACTCCATTACAGTTGTAAATTGAAGATTAACTGTACTAAAGTATATTGCTAGTTAAAAAAGACTAACTAATGTCAAAATTTAATGTCACATTTTTACATCAGTATCTTATTAGCTCTATCATATAACAGAAACATTGAGGAAAACTCTGAAAGGGCATCTGCATATATTCTCTTACACTCCCCCCCCCCAATTTAATTATTTACTTAATTTAAATTTCAAATCTGACAAATATATCAGGGCTGGTAATCCTGGACAAATAATTTGAGATCGTGCCGTCTTCTTTCCCAATTTTTAAAATAGTTTATGTCAAACATTTTGCTCCATATATGAGTGAATTCATATTTACAAATTCGGAATGTTGTATGTGTGTGGAATTCTGCTGTTTTTCTGTTGTGTCCTGAAAAAAATCTGAAATCTAAGCCATAATGACTTAATGATATTTCACATAATCACAAGCTATTTCCTTGGCTGTAATATATATTCTGTTCCAAATCAGTTGCTGCTATTTCAATTGCATGCCCAACTGCTTACCTGCTTAAATCAACAATATATTTATGAACACTTTGGAAAGCCAAATAAAATCTGGTTAAAATTTCTATGTTGTTTTCACGAAATTCATCATCTAAATCTTGCAGTTCAGGTTTGGCTTCTAGTTTCCCTTCACACAATTCAGGCCCCTAAGGATGGGGGGGAAATCAGGAACAGAATTAGTATGTTTGAGATAGAACACTAATCATTTAATACTTCCTTCATTAAAAAGGTAAAGGTTCCCTTGCACCTATGTGCTAGCCGTTCCCGACTCTAGGTGGTGGTGTTCATCTCCGTTTCAAAGCTGAAGAGCCAGCGCTGTCCGAAGACATCTCCATGGTCATGTGATCAGTATGACTAAGTGACGAAGGCGCAGGGAACACTGTTACCTTCCCACCTGTTTTTCTATTTGTATTTTTTACGTGCTTTCGAACTGCTGGTTGGCAGAAGCTGGGAGAAGTTGCAGGAGTTCACTCTGTTACGCGGCACTAAGGGTTCGAACCGCCGAACTGCCAACCTTTCTGATTGATAACTTTAGCTTCAGTATAACACAATTCTTACTTTGAAGTAGCTGAAATCAAATATGATATCTCCATATTTTTGTTGATCGCTTTTGTCTTTGAGGCGGAATACAGGAGGGACAAATTCGGACAGTCTCAGCAATTCAGCAATGATAGCATTTCCACAAGACACGATCCGAAGAATGGCTTGTCCACAAAGATTATTTTCCGCTAAGAAGTCCAACATGGCGAAGAGGAGGAAGGTCGTATTTTTTCAGTGCAGGTTTATACAGTTGTCAAAACAATCTGAAGAAAAATCGTTTGCAATTCCTCCATTACATTCCTGAAAAAGTCATTAACCACAGAAAGAACATTTTAATGTTGTTTTTTCCATGCTACAATTTTATTATTATTATTTCAAACTGAAGGTTGAATTTTGCAACAACATTTTTACTGCAGAAGATAATTTAAAAATTCTATTTGGAAGTAAATGTAGACCTCAGGATACAGCAGTTTGGGACAAGGATTTAAAGATTTATCCAGATTCAGTTCCCCTAGGGCTGGGGTGGCACGCAGCCCTCTCGGTGGGCATGTGAGCATCGCCCCAGTTCAGTTCTGCTGCGCATGCCCGTGTACCTCCCGGCAGCCAGGTCTCTGCCGTGCATGCGTGGGGGCGGGGCACGCATGGGGGGGGCACATGCACAGGGGTAGGGCAAGTGCAGGGGCCCGGACATGCATGTGTGTGGGACGTGTGAGGGGTGCCTGTGCATTGCATTTTGGGTGTTCAGCTGCATGCATGTGCATTCATGCTCTCTTGCACGTGCTTTGGGCACTCAGTCATGTTCCAAAATTGTGCATGTGTTCGTGCCCACACACATAATGCAATTCCCCCTGCACACGACCTGCCACGCTCCTTCTGGGCCCCCTACACTTGTGTGTGACCCTTACGCGCCCTATTTTGGGCCTAGCAGGCCTCCCTCAAGCCTCCTGGGACCAAAAACGGGCGGCGGGGGGATGTGCCACATCCCCGTGTTCCTCCACTCCCTCTGTGCCTGCATGCGCAGCTCCTCTGCACATGCGTGGGCATCTCCTGCATGTGCAACAGACCCGAAAATCAGCTAGCTGGCATGAGGCGCATATGTATGTGGGGTGGAATTGAGCTGGGCGACAGCTCACATGCCCCCAGAGAGGGCTCCGCGTGCCACCTGTGGGACACGTGCCATAGGTTCGCCATCACAACCCTAAGGTCTTTTTCTGGTTACAAAATGGTTCCATTCTGTGTTGAGTGATGGTATAACACAGTTGGGCAAAATGTCTGCTTAATACAATCATTAAGAAGGAATAGAGTTATTAAAATGAGATTATTGATGAAGCCAAATAGAACCTTCGGGTGCCAGGCTAATATATCTTGGAGAAACCAAGTGCTACGGAATTTTTTTTCTTTAAAAAATCCATTACTCTCTCATGTGACTTACTTCCACAAAAACATATTGTTTTCATGAAAATGAATCACAGCAGGAAGCTAGAAACATTTTGGTGATATGAGTTTTTTAAGAATTAAGAGTAACCATATAATTTTGAACTTGAAACCATTCTGATGAAAAAAACAACAACAATTGGATGGTTAGGGTGAATTGCAACTGTTATCAACAACATAGGGAAACACATTTCCATTTTCAATATAAACATTTAATTTTTTTTTAAATGAAATAAAATGTCTAGAAACTTTACAACGCTTGGCCATCAGTTAGGAGATTCAACTTCCTTGCTATCATTTTAAAACTTAATTTTTAAAGTGATATTTATGTCTCACATTTTCACTCTTGGAGATCACAGCACCCTTGCAAGGTAGGCCAGACTGACAATGACAACTGAGCTGGGCTCCAAAATGACTTTGCCTTGAATTAACTAATTTAATTTAATCTAATTTAATTTATTTAACAAATACTATTGATTAGGCCCTTTATTAAAGGCCAGGCAGAATTATAAGAACTCACACTTACAGTTCTTTTTATAGATTTTTAAACTGCTTTTAATTGCATTTTAATGCTTTGAATGCAGCTAAATTGTTGCATTATTAAATTAGGCACACCTTGACGACCCACGGACCACTTCACCACTAAACTGTAATGTACTATCATGTCTTGTTCTGTTCTGTTGCATTTTATTTTCATGTTTTAATTTTTAATTCTGGCTTGTAATGGTAATAAAAATTTGACTAACGCTTCTGCTTTTTAATTGTATCGATCGCTTGGTTTTTCTTAGCTAAACCCTGTGCGCTGCCCAAATTCCAATATGAGATTGGGCAGCTATATAATAAATTTGATAAATAAATACATTTTTATTTGATCAATAAATACATTATCAAATTACCGAGAATAACACTCAATATTTGATCATGAATTAACAATTGCACGAGAGTATTTCTCGTACCGGACTTACTTTCTCTCCTCCCCTCTTCCTACAGAGAGGAAGAGAAGAGATGGACGGAGACTTCTTTCTCTTTGGCTCCCCTTATCAGACCCGCGAGTCAGGTCAGGACCCGCGGGATGCACGCAGTTCGTCAGAATGGGTGCAAAGTCGAGTGCAAGCCGACAAGCAGTCAGCAAAGAGAAGAAACCGGGCCGGAAACCGAGGCGAAGCTGCAGACGGCCATCAAGACTAGGCAGGGCCGGGCGAGCTTCCCTTCATCTTGGGTCACATGAGGGTTTGCGCGGTCATGTGAACAGGCGCCGGCGTATGAGAAGTCTCGCCGCCCTTCCGAGTCCTCCCGCCTTCTCTTGCAAGCATCTGAGCCAAGATTCAAAATAAGAGGAAAAGATAAAATAGAGAGTGTTTCCCCTCACTCCCCAAGGAAACAGGTAAGGGGGAAAGGGATGCTTAGAGTAAATGCTGGTGAAAAAAATTGCATCCCAGCCTCGCGCTTGATCCGCGCCCCGGATGAACCCGTTTCTTGCATTCACACGAATGCTTTCCATCCCCAGCTAGCAAAGGGGCTGACTTTGCCCAGGTCTCGGCTTTCGTGCAAGTTTGGGGAGCTTTGCTGGCTGTGTGGATGCAGTCATGATTTGGGGCGTGTTGTGCGAACGGAGCCAAGTTTTTTGGGGTGGGGGGGGAAAGAAAGCGGGGAGAGGTTTCATTTCTGAAAAAGATGCTGCTGTGGAATTCTGGGAGTTGAAGTCCACTCAACTGAAAGTTGCGTACTTAGAAAAAATATTGATTTGTATCCTGTAAATCAGTGTTTCTCAACCTTGGCAACTTGAAGATGTCTGGACTTCAACTCCCAGAATTCCCCAGCCAGCAAATGCTGGCTGTGGAATTCTGGGAGTTGAAGTCCGGACATCTTCAAGTTGCCAAGGTTGAGAAACACTGCTGTAAATCACCTATATGTAACTATCACCTAGCCTGACTAGGTGGCTCAGTGGCTAAGGCACTGAGCTTGTCGATCAGAAAGGTCGGCAGTTCAGCGGTTCGAATCCCTAGTACAGATACCCTGCATGAGCAGGGGGTTGGACTAGATGACCTCCAAGATCCCTCCCCTTCTGTTACTATCTCGCCTTTCAAAAGGTTCCCTGTTGTGTTCAATGACAGTTTGGTTGAGTTCTAGCTCACCTCGCCTTTCGAAATTATTTTTTACTTTGTTGGCAAGTGGGTTTTTTCTTCTTCAACCACACAATCAAGTGCTTGTTTTGTTGTTTGCTAAGCAAAGAAAACGTAAGTGTGCTACGTTTCAATAAGAATAATTCATAATCATTCAAGAGCTGTATTGGATCAAGCCAGCATTCTGGGTTAAAGACAAATGAAATGGGCGTTTATGAGAAACCGTGATCTCAGGTCTATATAAACTCTCAAGTATTATAAAAGTGAACCCATGGCTAGGTTCACTTCTGGTGCTAAAACATACTTGGTTTTGGTTTGGCATGATTGCCAATCAAATCTCTGGTTTAGCATGATATGCACCAAAGACAAATTCCTTGGCCAATAAAGAATTCTATTCTATTCTATTCTATTCTATTCTATTCTATTCTATTCTATTCTATTCTATTCTATTCTATTCTATGAGAATTCCAGGTACATTATTGTGCTTCATTCAGCAGGTGGGTCTCAATTTTAAGTGATCTTGTGTACACTCTTGTGTAGCTTCTCAAGAACAGTGTGAAGTGGCTGGTTTTTGCCATCGTCTGAGATATTCTGGAGTCTAGCCTAGGGGAATTTCTTAGTGGTCTAACCCTATGTGAGAATGACCTTGGGGGGTTGATGCTGTCTGAGGAATGGTCAGATAATAATAATAATTTCAAAAAGGAGAGTAGAATAGAATAGAATAGAATTCTTTATTGGCCAAGGAATTTGTCTTTGGTGCATATTATTCTTAACCAA